CATTGGATTTAAAACCCTTGCTGTCATCACTACAGCTTGCACCTTGCATGCATTGTCTCATCGCTCGTCGCGGCTCATTAGCCTGTTTTTCCTCTGCTGAATGTGAGGTTGGTTTGAAAAAGGTCACGTTTTTCTGGATTGCTCCAAATGAGACAGCATTCTAATAATTACAGTGCAGGGACCTGAACGTCAGCATCTCTTTTTGCTGATTTTGGAAACAAACTAAATTCCACAAAAATCTTTCCTTTAGAATTATTGTAATTAGAATATAGGTATGACATGAAAGTGCGAGGAGATTTAAATAGCCCTTGTTGCAGGACCATAATATAATCCTTAGAATTTAGGGTTCTACCAATAGGCCCCTAAATCGTTTTATGTTTTTAGGCTATTGGTAGAATAATTCTTATTTAATTTGTCACACTGTTGCCGGAATTTAGTATTTCCTTCTCAATGTTCATCTTATGGAAGAAATACTTGGACAGTCCCTAGAATTTCCCCCACACATTTTAAACAGCAAAGAAACTCATAATAAAGGTGACAAATTATGCTAATGTTCAGGTTTCATATTTGTATGTAGTGTCTCTCCTGTGACATGTTTTTATGCTTTAATGTTCAAAAAGCTCTTTATTTGTCTCATACTGCCTGTGCTGCAGCGCGTCTTTTCACCCTCTGTCTGAAACCAGAGCCCAGTCCCAGCTCTGTTGTGATTGGTCAACCGCTTAGAGATGTATGGCCCTAAGCCTAGCACATACAATGTGTTGGAGCTAGCTAATATAAGTGCAAGTGTTACATATTGTCACTATGCTATATCAAACAAGTAGGTGGCTGCACCTTTTCGCTTTGATCTTAAGTATGCTTCTGTATACAGTCTATTTTACAGAAAAGCTTGTTCAAAAAAGGTTTTTATAATTTCACATTTTCTATTATTTAACTTTTATGTTTTTAAATATTAAAGACTTTGGGGCTCCATACCTTTAGAGGAATAAAATGATATGTAGATGTTTAATATCTGTACCCTACTAATGTGAGCACAATTCTTAGTTGAGAAGATCTAGCCATTATGTAACAAGAGTGCTTGATGTTACATTTTGGATCTGCTAACATTCCTGATCTGAAGGAAGATGCTCAAAGGCCACTGGGATGTAACATTAATGGTAAATAAATCCAACTCATGCAGGCAGAAATATGGCTCAGGAAAACAACAAAATCTCTATTTTTTTCTTTTATTGCGCTGAATTTGGCAGAAATGTGTTCATAGACGTCCAGAGAAAAACACTGCGCTTGTTAAACATTGATTTACGGGGAATAGCAAAAGAAGGAAACAACATTCTGTTTTGAGTTTTATTTTATTTTTACAATCCATATTTTACTGTTAGTTGCTGAATGTTTTTAAAAAGACGAGGAGACAGGAAGAGACATGGAAAACTACTTAAAGGTTGTGTTTTTGAATACTTGCTGCCTTTGAATTTTCTGACAGCATAATGTCATTCATGCCTTTCAATAACCTCCACCCCGTGAATCATCCATTTAAATTGAGTATTGACATGCCAGGTTGCATTAACACAAAGGGCTCTGGTTTGGAAGCGTATAGGCTGCTGTTAGCCTCTGACAGCGCCTTTGATTTAGCTTCGCACCGTGTACGGGCAAAAGAGACCGGGCCCGGTCCATAGCAACCATCCCTCTACACCTGGGAAACACATTGTCCATTGCAGTTCCACATACATTTCCAGATGTGGGATTCAATTTCAGAGACCTGCGATAAACCTGTCTGACATGTGCGAAAACAAAGCATGAAAATAAAACAAAATATATGTTTAGCAAATAAACCGGTGATCCAATCTTCAAGACTACTAATCCAAAAACCATCCTTACATTTTCCTTCTCAGCTCTTCATGTCATTTTGGTGATATATGAGCTTATGTTTGAGCTGTTTGCAATGAAAATCTGCACAATGTGATTGTAAGCTTGAATTAAACTGCCTGTGTGGGAGTGACACTGCGCAGAGGCAGAGCTCCTGTGTGGGCCGTGGCTTAAGAGAAAGTGCAATAGAGTAAATGGGATAATCAGGGTTTACAGGTCTTGGTGGCCGTGGTGACGCAGGGCTTTGCGCTGCCAAATGGAGCACCTGTGACAGAGGCTCCGCCCTCACATTGCCACTGCCTGTCCCTTAACCTTACTGACCCTGGGCCGCCACTTTCATCCGGCCCTTAGAAAATGCTCCAGAAAATGTGAGCTGTAAATAATAGGAGTGTATTTTATAAATATATTTACCTAAGAAGAACTGAACAAGATTCAATATAATAAAACAAATGCAATAAAGAAAAACAACCAATTTAAGGTATTGAAACAGGCCTCATTTAACACAGGTTGCATAATCATTCACAGTGTCAGTTTACTGCACATTATTTAAAAGCATTCTGGTGTGTGGATATGTGCAAATGTGTGTGTGTGTGTGTGTGTGTGTGTGTGTGTGTGTGTGTGTGTGTGTGTGTGTGTGTGTGTGCGCGTGTGTGTGTGTGTGTGTGTGTGTATTTATGTGGTACATTTATCAGTAGGTGCTTCACCACTCTGGTCTACTTAAAGTTGTTTGATTCTCAATGCTTTCCATATTTGTATTATTATTTTCTTTATATCTTTCTTTTACTATTTGTGTTCCCTTTTAAATGTACAAACATTGTCAAATTACTATGCACTAAATGTGAACAACGTCATATGTTAGCAAACATTAAATATCCTGCATTTAAAAAAGAAATTCAAATAAGAAAAAAGAAAAACTGATCCTAAACAAAAAAAAGCGTATTTTAATAGTGTATAGCAGGGGTGTCCAAACTACGGCCCAGGGGCCAACTGCGGCCCGTGGTCCATTTTTAATTGGCCTGCAGAAAATTCTAAAAGTATAATGGGGTATGGCCAACACATGAAGATAGTGCTTGTCTTATATTGTACTTCTTAAATATATATGTACAAATATATTACACAATATTCATTGTTGTTGTTTTGTCAGTGTTAATAATCCTAATTTTCAAATAGATTCAGTCAATTAAAGTTAAATTTTTATTCTGACAAACCTTGGTTGATAAAAAAGCTCTAACTGATTTGTATAACATCAATCAATCAAATAACCTTAACGACCCCTGAAATGGGTAATATATGGTAAAAAGCAAGATTCGTTTTTACTTGAATTTGTAATACTGTAACTTAATCCAATTCCTCAATCCACAAAGAAATGCACATATCCTTTACTCAGAAACGGTGTAGTATGACAGGTAGAAACAAGTCATTCCCCGGCTGCAATGATGCGCAGAGACGATGCTGAAGACGTGGGTGACCCGGAGAGACTGACCAATCAGAGCAGTATTTTTCAGGAAGGCGGTCTTAAAGACACAGGCGCTACAACGGAGCATTTCAGAAAGAGACTGAATATAGGTGAATTCAGATGGACAGTATTAGAAGAATAATGTATTTTACTAACATTAAAGCATGTAAACATGTTTGGGTAGAATCCCTAAAATACCAGTGTGAACTGGTAAGGAATATAATGTCTCCTTTAAGTATCTTGTTGTGTATTTTAAGATGTGTGCTACAGGTGACACACATCCTGCAGATTGTACATAATGGACTAATCTGAAGTCAATTTAAGAGTCTGCACAGCATGACCCAGCGGGCATTAATGGTCTGGGGGTAACTGGCTTATGGGATTACAGAGAAATATTTCCTGTCTGTTTTAAACAGCAAATTCATCAATGGCTATTAAGTACAAGTGTAATGTATACAGCTCAATAGTACTAAATCTTTCAGACCCTGTGTGCCAATTGCCAAAACCGAAATCAGCCCACAGAGGGCGACATGGCAACACCGAATAAGCATTATAGGCAGATCATAACCAGCTGAATTTTACATAGATTAAGAAACAACAACTTTATATTTCTTTGTTTTACTTTTACTAGGCCCTACTTACAATCTACATTTGTTTAAAATGATCATGACACCTGACCTGCCTCTAAATATCTTGTAATCTATGAATGAATCCAGGTGCATCAATTAGTAGAACATTTGTATGGAGTAATAATCTTGTTAATGAGCACTTAAATTACTTCAGATTAAAAGCATTGTAATAATATGATTAAAGTAGGCCTGGGGAGCAGGTTCCTTCAGAGGAGTTGTACAGTGCTCGTGCTGAGCAGCAGGGCTCGCGGAGAGCAGCAGGCTGTCAGAGGGGGGCGGGGTGACGCACAACTGACATCCCCACACTACGGAGCTGCTTGTTGCAGAAGGACGCAGCATGTCAAGCGGGCAGGTAACGGTTAACTTCTCCACAAGTGGGAGAAATATGTCGAACTAAAAAGAGTTGAGGAAAGAAATCTGGATTTCCTGAGCGCATTCAAACTGCTTTAACGGGATTATTTATTGGCAAGAAGAGGAGAAATGTGCAGGAGCTGTGCGTAAGAAATCCACAAGATTCCTGAGAGGGGTTGATATCGACGGAGGGAGGATAGTGCCAAAGTGCGACTTGAGTTGCTGCGTATTCATGCATATTCATACAATTATAGGCGTGCCTTTGGGCGATGGAGTCACGGCCGGAAAAAGCAAACCCCCTCCTGGATCACCAGCGACCTTCAAAGACTGATGCGCAGCGCTCGGACGCACTGACAGTGGCACCGGGGCAAATATTTTAAAAGCACAAGAGAAAGAGAGGAGAACGTTAGCACTCCTTTATCTCCACGCTTCTTGACTGGCTTCGTCAACACAACGACTGCTGCGCCACTGGATCTCCAACACGGGCTTATTGCACAAACTAAAACGCACCGCTGCACTATTTGCATTGGGTTTTTAATATTTTAGTTTATTTGTAAAATCAGAACGGACGACTTAAGATCCTGATGCGGATGAAGTTACAGCTACTTCATATAACTTGTGCGTAAATACGCATTAATTTGTCACATTTTGAAAAAACTATTTATATATTTTATTTTATATTGAGGACTTTTCCACGCTTCACCATGTCAGAGGACGATAGTAGCTCCACCACCAGCATTATGTCCGACACCGAAGGCAGCAACGTCAGCGTCCTCAACTGGGAGCAAGTGCAACGGCTGGACGCCATCCTGAGGGAGACCATCCCGATCCACGGCCGGGGGAACTTCCCCACTCTGGAGATGCAGCCGCGGCAGATAGTAAAAGTAGTGCGTAGTCGGATGGAGGAAAAGAAGATCCACGTCCGGGACGTTCGGTTAAATGGCTCTGCAGCCAGCCACATTCTGCACGGGGACAGCGGACTGGGCTTTAAGGATCTTGACCTCATATTTTGCGCAGATATGAAAGGGGAAAGTGATTTCCAGACTGTGAAGGACATAGTTTTGGACTGTCTCCTAGATTTTTTACCCGACTGTGTGAATAAGGAGAAAATAAGCCCATTAACGTTAAAGGTACATTAACCCTTTTAATTCCTCATTGTTTACTTTCGGATATGTGATAAGATGGGATTGCATTTGTGCCAATTCGGCTTAACGTCCATTACGCACAGTTTAACGTGCAATTAGATTAGTTTAGTGATAGTAACATATTCGTTTTCTTTAGTTAAGAGGATTGAGTTAAACCAATTTAGAATGGATCCTGAGCTCAGCCACATACATCCCATATACAAGTACATTATATGGTCTTATATATGTATGTCAATAGCTGCATGATTTAAAACACATGTGCGGCTATAACTTTTTCTTATAGATATTTTAACATGAATTCTATGCTAAATGTGCACGTTGAACTTTTGTTGTAATTTTAAGGCTGTTTACTTAATATAATGCTCCTTTTCTCTCCCTCACACAAACGCAGGAGGCCTATGTTCAGAAGATGGTGAAGGTGTGTAATGACTCAGACCGCTGGAGTCTTATCTCCCTCTCCAACAACCGAGGAAAGAATGTTGAGCTGAAGTTCGTGGACTCTCTCCGGCGGCAGTTTGAGTTCAGCGTGGACTCCTTCCAGATCAAACTGGACTCCCTGCTGCTTTTCTACGAGTGCTCAGAGAACCCCATGGCCGAAACCTTCCACCCCACCATCATGGGCGAGAGTGTGTACGGGGACTTTGGAGAGGCCCTGAATCACCTACGCCACAAGTTAATCTGCACCCGGAACCCCGAGGAGATCCGAGGCGGGGGTCTGCTGAAGTACTGTCACCTGCTGGTGAGGGGTTTCCGGGCCGCCTCAGAAACAGAGATGAAGTCCCAGCAGCGCTACATGTGCTCGCGTTTCTTCATCGACTTCTCTGATATATGTGAGCAGCAACGCAAGCTGGAGTCCTACCTTCAGAAACCACTTTGTGGGCCTGGAGGACCGCAAGTACGACTACCTGATGACCCTGCACGGGGTGGTCAACGAGAGCACGGTGTGCCTGATGGGACACGAGAGGCGGCAGACCTTGGGCCTCATAGCCATGCTGGCGGTGCGCGTTCTCGCCGAGCAGAACGTCATCCCCAACGTGGCCAACGTGACATGTTACTACCAACCTGCTCCTTACGTGGCAGATGGCAACTTCAGTAACTACTACATAGCGCAGGTTCAGCCGGTGTTTGCTTGCCAGCATCCTGCATACTCCACCTGGCTGCCCTGTAACTGAGTCAGCCCCAGGTGGAGGTGGAGGGAGAGATTTGTTTAAACAGGAGCGGAGCAGCAGACCTGCCCAGTGTTTGACAGAAAAAGGAGGCTTCTTTTTAATGTTTTGCATCAAAGCTTGTGTTTTGGCTTTCACTCCTATCTGATGTGAATATCTCACATTTCCTTGAAATGCCAACGTCATCTGATCCTGCCCAGGCCAAGCAGGTTGGGGAGAGACTCATTTGTGTAGCTTGGAAATAAAAGGCTATAAGTGCGACAGCCTCTCAGCAGAACTGTCATCAGAACTGATCGAATCTGTCAATAACTGATTAGTCAGCACGCTCCAACAGCAGACCACAAACGGCTGCATCAGTGCCCTGAAGCTGACAGTTTCTCCACACACACACACACACCCTCGCACACTCAAGGTGAAATCAGATGTGTGTGTGCAGGGATCCAAAACCTGCACCCTAGACTGAGCTTTACTAAAGCTTAAACTGAGGTGAGATGCTGGTTTAAGTGGTTTCGATAACAAACCGGCATCCTCGCCTCGCATTTGGATATAATTATGGTTGTTTACAGACCAAAGATTTTATTTTGATTGTTTCTAACATTAAAACCCCATTTTCATTGGGGGTTAACTAAACAAAATATGAAGCTATGTCTATTTGTATATGTGAACATAACGTGTTTTTAAGTGCCTACAAAAGAATGAGCAGTCCATATGATTTTTGTGAATTAGCCCCCACTCTGTTTATAGTCAGGCACACACAAGACAACAGCACCCCAGACTGGCTTGTGAATGTACATGTGAAACCATGCAGTCAGTGTTTATGTATGTTTGGACGAAACCATGCCTTAGTGGGGATTTTGCAGTAAAGTAGCAGTCATATGTCCGATCAATGGATTGTTGAAAAAGGTTCATATTTTTCATTTCATTTCTGGTGTTAAAACTACTCCAAACATGCTTTAACATTTCCCAAATGGATACAGGTGTTGCATATTCTACAAGTTTATTTGAAAAAACAGATACAAGTCATTCGTTTGAATCAAACATTTCTAGGTGATGCACAATAACTATAACAATTGAGAAAATAAAATCAGAAAAAACATTAAAACAACCCAACACTGGTTTGATTTACATGATCTGGATTGCTCACATAGTAAAAAAACAAAAAGGTTATAGAAAAAAACAAAAAAAACGATATCCGTTTTTGCAAGTGAACACTTCACTGTTCAGAACTTATGACACTTTTTATCCACATCAATGCAGCAAAAGGAAGGCCCACTCACACACAATGACCCTGTATATTAAGTACAGCGATGCTTCTCTTATTTATCACGTGAGGCAGAAACAGTTCACAAGTAAGAGACACAGAGCGAGGACAGGACTACATTGAGAAACGCTGCTGTCTGTCCCCTATGCTTCCTCCTATAGCAGATATTTGCAGAGACAGAGGATGAGACACTGTTTGCTGTAGCACCCTGGCAGGGAATTCCTCAGCTGCTGCTGAAGAGCTTGAACTATAAGCGTAGGGTTGTGTCTCCAGACGCTGTGTTCAGGGTTCAGGAAAACCTTTGACTGCCCCGCTGATAGCCCTGAAATTTAATGGGGAAATATGTTGATGTAGAAGAAGATATAAAAGACAGTGGAGGAAGAAAAAAGGGAGAATGTAGTGGTGAAAAGGCAGGAAGGAGAGATAGGTGCAGCTGGTGATGGGGTTTATATCTTGGCCTACCAATCGTTACTGTACTCTGTTAAGGTCAGACTATTGGGTGGTCCAAAGCATTCTGGTAAAACCATTTGCTCATCGTTAAAAAGTGGAAACTGAAGAAATATCGCCTGCATTTACACCAGCTTCAAAGTCTTTATGAATTGCAACCTAGTTTCACGATTTAACAATGCTTATTCATGTTTTTTATGCTTCATTCCACACCGTGTACATACATGATTACACGCTTAAGCTCACTTACTACTTATACGTATGTGCTATATAAATAAAACTTGATTTGATTTGATTTGATTTATACAGCAGCCTTTCTGGATTGCAGATTTACAATTACAAGCATAGAACTTAGAAGACCTGCATTAACTACATTTCTCTTGCTGGAAAAACTTTCACAGCTTCTGATTCTGATCATCCATAACTGCTCTGTTCATCTTCTTAATGGCTGTTTACATGGATGGCACCCTTTGGTTTGTGCAGGCAATGTATTTTCATTTTATTCTCAGTGAAGTCCGAACAGCTGACTAGCTAGCTAGCTCCTGTCGGTCAGTGATCGTCCTGTCAGTTAGAGATTGTGGGTTACTATATTGTCTTGTATCTCCAATATCTGTTTCCGTACATGCAGTCTTTTACAAATCACACTTTGAGAAAAAAAAACGACAGAAAAAATATCCTTGTCTTGTATGTATATTTTTTAATGATTGTTATTTTTACAAGTGTTTGAGACATGTATGTCGCAGTGCTTTTGAATCTGTGATCGGGCTTCAGAGGATATGTTCTCAATAGCTTTTTTTGCTATAATATGTTATATGTCCATTGGGTCAAAAGGTTAAATATGTTTTCATCAATAAAATATCGGAAATCAGGATTCTCACGTCTCTTTGTTATTGGTTTTGAATTGAGATAACTGCACCCAAATGAAAATGCAAAATGCTAATGCTAATTTGTCAATGAACTTCATATTTATTTTCAAGTAAAGGACAGTGAGAGTGTCTCTTTTCACTGACGTCAGCCTTTCAGTTGCTTTCAGACGGGTTCCCTGCCCACATACTCAGAGAGGAAAATCCCTGCCATGGCCCGCGGGGCCAGAGAGGCCCGGCCAGAAAAACATCCAGAACTTCCAGAAAGAGCTGTTGTTGAATGTGAGGGGATTTGCATCCGACCCAAAAAAGACTTCAACACTTTTGTGGAATGAATGTCTTTGCCAGCTCATCAAATTCTCTCTGTGACAGCAATGTAATGTCTCATGGTTGAAACGAAACTCTCCACCGCAGGCTGTCACACAGGTCACATGACACACTGTCCTAGATAGAGACATGCATGTCACACAGCGCTATATATAGCAGACATGAGAAGGATTTATTCACAGCTCATTAATCTGAGCCATTGAAGGATGATTGACAGGTTGTTTTGGTTAGCATATTTAACCTTAGTATTGAGATCCTTGACTGAAGTAAAAGCAGTAATATCACACTGTGAATATTCTCTGCTACAAGGGAAAGTCCTGCATTGAAAATCTTACGTAAGAGGATGTATGATGAGAAGAAATGGACAGTGAATCGACGGAAGAGGATTAGCGCCACATGTGAAATTGTTTTTGAGATCTGACCAAAGGTGAATTCTGAGTTTAAAGTCAGAATTATAAAAAAACACTTTCAGTCAGATCTCAATTTGTGGCTTCAGATGGCTTGTGTAGAAATGTTTCCTGTCAGTGTTTTACCATTATTATTTTGTGTATGCATGTATGTATCTACTGCTGTAGATGTTTAAGGTGGTGATTTTTTAACTCCTTTATATACTATTGGGCAGGCTACAGCAATGCATCATGTTCTTTAAGACCATCAAATTGTTTTAGGCTTTGTTGCGGACCTGTGAGAACCATATAGCTCTAAAAAGTCAACTTCAGATCCAAGAGGCTTTATAAATAGTTTAAGTATAAGATGTGTTCATTCACATCACATCTGGAGTTTGGAGGTTTTTACCGGACAGCAAGGGAAAAAGTAACTGAAGTTGTCAGATAATGGTAGTGGAGTAAAACGTACTAACAAACGGTGACATGCTTAAAGTAGCATCAAATGGAAATACCCAAGTAAAGTACAAGAACCTCCAATGGGTAAGAGGCTATTTGACTAAATGTAGTTACTTTCCATGGCTGCACAACACCATATTAGCACGCTTGTGTTACTGAGCTAGTGGAGATTTTGCCTGAAATACAATAACTTGGGAGGATAACCACTTGATTTGACTAACTGCTGAAGCACCTACATTATCTTCAGATTTGGAAGATAACAAGGGCCAGTATGGACAAGAGGAACAATGGCAGCAACAAAAATGTATATGTACATATTAAATGTACATATGTGTGACTGTGGCTCATTGATTGAATGGGTGTCTACCAATCGGAAGGGTCAGTGGTTCAATCCCCAGCCCCTGCAGTCAACAAAAGTGTCGAGGCAAAATACTAAACCCCAAATTGCTCCTCTGGTATAATAATAATAATAATAATAATAATAATAATAATAATAATGGTATAAGTGGGAACCTTTCCTTCAACAAATTCAAATGACTAACACTTGTGCTAATACCTGAGTCAGGCTACTATTTTTTATTTAAGATTTGTGCAAGATAAATCAAATCAAATCAAGTTTTATTTATATAGCACATTTATAAACGATTTTTGGTCGAGCCAAAGTGCTGTACATATAATAAAAATAGCCTACAGTAGAGACACTTTACAGCAAATACAACAGCACAGATTGTTCAGAATATCAGTATGAGAAAAACGACACCCTCTATCCTTAGACCCTCACATCGTACAAGGAAAAACTTCCAGAGAAAAACCCACAGTTTAAGGGGAAAAAATGGGAGAAACCTCAGGGAGAGCAACAAAAAAAAAATATTTTCTTTTATCTTTCATATTGCAAATAGGCATCATTATTCTTTCACTAAAGCATCCAGCGTTTAGTGGCAGCACTGAGCACACTTAAAGCAGTCAAGAACATTTCATGATTTATGTTGGATTGTACATGGACTCTTTTCAGTTTTAGTGAATTCAGCCCTTCTAAATCATGTCAGTCACTTTTGTTCATCTTAGGTGTATTTAAAAAAAAGTTGTTGTCTGATATAAAAGCTTTAAAACTGCAGCAATTACAAATGTAATAAAACCAATTACTTAATCTGATACCACAAAGGAACAAAATACACAAATAATTGCTAGAACCATTTAATACACTTCCGCATTAAAAGTACAGTACATGGATGGCTGGGACGGTAGTGTATATTCTAAAGTAAGGTTTTAGTGTAAGTCCATAGTGAGAATATGACTAGAAAATGAGACTTGAATAATACTGCATGATTTGTGTGAGAGTTGGTATTATCCTATTTTCTCCCGCATCTTCCATCTCCGCCAGTTTTGACACAATCATCAGCGGTTGACGTGCGCCCTCCGCGACCCCATCATCCTCTGTCTCCTCTGATAAGGTTGTGTGTGCACAAAATGCATAAATCTCCACTGATATAAGCTAAATCCAGGCTGCAAGGCTACTGGCACTCATGACAATTTGACCCTGTGTGTGTATAGCTTCCAATATTTCTGTCTTGATAGGTAATACAACTAGTATGATGAAATCTATTGAGAAACAGGAAGCACTTGGCTGATTCCTGCAAATGTATCAAATTCTGCATCAGCCACAGCACATTAACATGTGGGAAGATAATGCTTACAACACACTGACACTAGCTTAAAGTGGACCTATCATGCTATATTTGAAAACCTATATAAATGTCTGTGAAGTTTTTTTTTCAAAATACCAAACAGATCATACATTTTCTGTATCAGTCTGTATCAGATCCGTTGCAGCCCCGTTTTTAGAGATTTGGGTATGGAGGAAAAGAGAGAGGGTTGTGTTTTCTGACACTTGGTGAGTTCCCTGACACACCGGGGACACATATTCATGTATAAAAGACATACAAAAGTGCATTTTGCATGATAGGGCCCCTTTAATAAATGTGAGGTCATTGGCAGGAACAAGGTTTTGATTATCAAGCAAACTCTTGATTTGATGTTTTATGTGTTATGAATGAGGCTAGAGTGCAAAAGGAAGGGTTGCAAGTATGCTACAAATTCTCGTTAATGTCAGCAGATATCTCTTTTCTTTTTTTAATATTTGGCTCTAAGGACAAATTCCTCCTTCCGAGTCCCTAAATACCTACTCACCATGTCTCATTCCAGGTCCCTTTACTTCCTGCCTTGGTTCTTTTTCCCGCCATCGTCAGCGTCTGCCCCGCCCCTGATTGTTTCCACCTGTGCCCACTTGCCTCATGTATAATTGTCCTGTCTCCCCTTGTCAGTTGCCAGTTCGTCTTGTTCGTCGTTCCAAGACGCCAGATCCGAGCCATTGTTAAAGAGACTCAGTGGTTTGCCTTTTTATCCTCCATGTGAGCGCTTTACTTTTTTGACATTTTGTTACATCCTCTGAAAGAGGGATTTTCTTTCTTTAAGTAAAGATTATTTTCTTCACACCTTTTTTGTCTCTGGGTTGTGCATTTGATTCCTCATAATATTGAGTCAAGGTTCCTAACAGTGACAACATTTAGAAATTAGACAAGCAATCAGTGCGTCTTTATGAGTTGCAGGATATTTGCAGTTCCTACGTCCACACAAAATGAATTCAAGTAACATGATTATTATTAATTCATCCTTAGCCGATCTGGCATGTCCGTAACTTATCAAGTTTAAATTTCACCACAAATGACTCACAATATTTCCTATATAACAATTTATTTATAATTTAAATTTCATATAGTTACACTTCGACTTTCTATACTATGTCTATTCTTAAAATGTTTCGACATACTATACTATGAGGTTGTGAAAATTATTTTGAACATACTATACTCTTTTTTTAAATAGTTTTTATTTTTTCACATGTTCAACATACTTTGTCGTTTTACTGTGGGATTTCAAATATGTTACTTGGTCTTTTTTTTGGTCAGTGTTGTTTTAACTGTTGCATAGAGCCTGGAGATCATATCCGGGGGATAATTTCACGAAATCTCTGTCAAATTTAAACTTAAAATGCTTATTCAATGCAAGTGTGAACAAGGCTTATGTCTCATACCTGGTGGTGTTTCTAGTCTCAGTCTTAATTTCAAGCATGACTTTCCCTTAATCTCTTCCTAAGATCCCTTCTCATTTGTGGTTTTTCTGTAAAGAAGTCATGTCAAGTCGAAATTGATGTAACAACGGCGCCAAAGGGCCTAAATCCCAGGTCCTTAATTTGAGATGATGCATCAAACAAAATAGCCCTCTTAATTTAAGGGAGCTTTGATTTGAAAGTTTAAAGAGTTGTGAAAGTGTCTCCCCGCAGTAGCCAACTGGCAGAGGCTGATGATAGCTGACTACAGAGTGAACCCAAAAAGAAAGTACGGTGGCGGCTGGTGGAAAATATTTTTGGTGGGGCTATGGAAATGGTGACCAAACCATACTAGGGCGGTCCGGGGGATCGTCCCACGGAAGACATTTTTGAGAAATGAATTAAATTATGACTTCTGGTGATGTTAGAGGGGGGTGGGGGGAGGACAAATTGAGGCTTAAAAATATGAGATAATCCATAATCTTCAGTGTGGTTAGCTATGAATCTTCCAAAACTGTGCAACAGTACAGTATGCCCACACAAACTGCAGAACACTGGTGCTTTGGGAACACTCAAATGATTTAATTCCCATTTCAAATCAGGAGACTAAATATGAACATTATGTGTGTGTGTGTGTGTGTGTGTGTGTGTGTGTGTGTGTGTGTGTGTGTGTGTGTGTGTGTGTGTGTGTGTGTGTGTGTGTGTGTGTGTGTGTGGTGTGTGTTGTAGT